ATAATTAGAAGCTGATTACTGTACCGTAATACAGCACAACAGCAATAAATAAATCAATCAGCTGGGGGTGGGGAATGACTTTCCTATAATCAGCTATTAGAGGCTTGTATCCCTAATTAGTCTATTAATTAGAGCCATGCTCTCCCATCCACATGTTATCATTCTGCCAAGGCAGAGAAAACCCAGCCCAGGGGGCAGAAGATAAGAGAAATGAGAGAGACCAAGTAGTCGATTCGAATAGCTGGGCTTGTGTGTGTTTTAAAAGCACAGTTCTTAGTGCCCAGGGCAAATCCACCTGCTAGTAGAAAAGAAACGTTTATCAAAAACCAAAGGACTGTTGTCTTTGTTGAACATAAAGGGGAACGAACGATTTAATCTTTAAAGGGAAAAACCACCGTAACCGCACACGGGGATGTGTGAAGGGCAGTTCTGCTGTGTGTTCCCTGGGGCTCCTCACACAGCAAGAAACAAACACACAAGTGCGAAGGCAGCGTTATCAGAAGGCCAGCAACAGAGGGGCTTGCATCTCTGCTCAGCGCGTACGTCTTAGGGGATGAACAGTATCGAGTTCCTACTATGCGCCAAGTGCCACCTGCATTCTTTGTGTCTGTAATGTCTCATGTGATGATTTCGTTGACATTCTCAGAGTGCCCTCAAGTTATTTTGGGGAGTTTCCAAAAAGGAGCCTCATATGACCTTCACAGCTGTGGTCGCCAAAGGATGACGGCTCCACTCGTCCTCGCCTGCCTGACCCTCCGTGGGCCATGCCCCTTCCCCACCAAGATCTTAGGAAAGCTGGGCCCAGAAACTCACAAATAATTCTTGAACAGTTCCAGCAAGCTCTGAGACCCAAAGTGGCCTCCACATCCCTGGGAGCAGCACAGTGGGAGCACCGTGCCCTTCACACTCCCGTCCTGACTGAGCCAGCTCCTCTACCACGCCCCCATTCCAGGGCACTCAAAGAGAAACCAGGCCTGGGTGCTGGGGCAGCTGCCTCCAATAGCAGCAATCTACCAACAGCACTTAGAATCACCTTGCTTAATCCTCCCAGAAGGCCAACTACAAGGTAAAGAAGGGTTTTATTGAAGTCACCCCACTGGGGTGCAGGAGGGACAACCAGGTGTGGTGTCAGCCCTCGGATCAGGTTCTTCCTACCCACTCTTTCCTGCTGGGGTTGCTGCTGCCACACAGCGCACTTTCCATTGCCAACCTGACACACGTGCCAGAAAACCCTTCACCATGGACAGTGGTGACACAGGTGATGTGCCACAGGAGTCTCAGGGCTTCAGTATGTATGCGTCCCAGGGCAGTTCTTAGTGGAATGGGGATGCCTCCTACTTGGGGATGGCAGAGAGTGGCAGTGATGGCCACCTGGCCTTGGAGCTCAACACCAAGCCACTGTTCCCTGGTAACCAGCTAGGTGACCTTAGGCAAATTGCTTTCCATTGTGTCTCTTTGGTTCCCTCCTACGCAAAATGGGAAATGTCAGCTGTCTCCTTAGAATGTTACTGTGAGGATCAAGTGAGGTGGTGCAACACTACTAACACAGAGAGAGCTCTAACGTCACAAATACTGCCAAGCAGTACACACCTTCAGATAGAGCCTGAGGGTTATTAACCCCATTTTTCAGTGAAGGAAACTGAAGGTTCAGACTGAAGTTCACTTGAAAACAATCAGTGATGCAGTTACTGAAAGCAGTGGGTCTGGCCCCATCCCACCCAGCAGCACGACACATTTGTCCCAGAGCCTCTCCTCTGGAGTGTGTGCCATGTGCAAAGCTTTTATTCATTTAATACAAATGTATGTTTTCCTAGCTGGCACTAGGCACTGCACGGGCACTGAAGACCCGATTGCAAAGGTCTTACCATGGCAAAGAAAGCAGACATTGAAGAAGTAAAGCACAGCATTAAGAGCTAACATTATGGGAGAGAAGGACAGGTGACAAGGTGATTCAGGAGACACCGAGAATGAGCAGGACACTGCCCATGCAAAGTCCCAGCATAGGGGGTACAGGAGAGGCCAAGGCAGGAGAACTGAGGCCAGCCAAGGGCTGATCCTGTAGCAAGTAAGCCCTGGGAAGGGCTTTGGATCTCATCCTTAGTACAGTACGAAGCCACAGAGTGTTTTAATTAGAGAAGTGGTTGGTAGTTTTGAAGATCCTCCCGGCTGGAAGGATATCAGAGTTCAAGCTGCTGTAACAGAATACCACAGACTGTGGCTCAAACAATAAGCACTTATTTATATGTCACAGTGCTGGAGGTGAGGGAGCCCAAGACTGAGGTGCTAAGGCCTGTTTCTGTGGATGCTGCTTCCTGGTTCATCTCCTCATTGTTGTTTTGGTGCATGGCAAAGAAAGAAAGAGCAAGCTCTACGTCACTTCTTCTAAAGGCATGAGTCCCAGTCGGGAGGCTCCACCTTTGTGACTTAATTCCCTCCTTCAGACCCCACCTGCGGATACCATCACCCCGCTGTCTAGAATTGAAAGATAAGAATGTTAGAGGGATACAAAGGAGCAGATGTGAAGACCGGCTCCGAGCCTGGTGAGGCAGGTAGGCCAGGTAGGATGGAGACAAACACACAACTTTGAGCAAGAACAGATGGTTCTGAGCTGGGAAGGGGAGAAGGGCACTCTCTGGATTGCCTTAGGATTTGGCAAGTAGAAGCAGATGTGACTGGGCCATGTGCAAGGAGCATGGGCAACAAAGGCTGACATACTGGTTGCTTCTGACATTGCAATGACACGTGGTGGCGCCCTTACTGGACTAGCAGACACCAGTGGTAGAATGGCAGCAACTTAGCAGGTGCATCCTGCCTGGATTCGCATGCCAGCTCCATGCAGGAACCTTTACATCTGGGCTGCTTTGCCCAGAGGAGAAGGAATTGATGAGAAGATCCTACCAACGGGAGGGTCCTGTTCTCCAGGCTCCTGAGTGTGTGCATTGGTGCTGGAACGTCGGGGACTCAGGGTCCCCGGAGCCAGAGCACTTGTCTCCCTGGTGCTCCTGTTCCTCTCAGCCCAACTCCTCCTTACAGACGGTTGTTGAGGGTGGACCATGCGAGGCACCTAACTCGCAGACAGGAAAATTGATCTTAAAAGAGCTTACAACCAACCGCCCATAGCAACAGGTGCATGTATATGAAATAGCTACAAAAAGCACGAAGAATGTGCTTCTGGAAAACTGAGGCCATCAATGGCACTTTTGAATGGGAACATCAGGGGGAAGAGGCTGTCCGCTGGCCTTCAGGGGAGGTGGGGTTTCTGTGGGCAGGGACGCGCGGTTGGGCGGCGTGGTGGAGACATTCGAGGAGGAGGAGATGGCTGGGACTAAGAGGGCAGCAGGTTCAGGGAAGCACGCAGCAGTCTCCTTCCATCTGAGGGGAGCTGCCGAGAGTGAGTTTCTCAAGAGGGGGTTACCGAGCCTCCAGAAGTTTCAGAATTTCCAGAAATACTATGCAGGCGCGAGTCTCATACGCATTTTTTCTGGAGAGAGCGTCCACAGCTATTAGTTCTCAAGAGGGTCGAGATGCGAGGAAAGGATGAAAGACCGTATTCTAAATTCAGAATTTGCAGGTAGGCTGTGCTGCTCTTTGAGAAGCTGGAGAGTCCTGGCGCTGTCTTCGATTGTGCAGCCGCGAGGCCTGGCTAGGCCAGGCTCACAGAGGGGGTCTGCCCTTTGCCCTCTCGACGCCCCTGCGCCTGTGTTTTGGAAGCGGAGTCACCTGGAGAGGAATCCGGGATGCAAGGTCGGAGCACCGCGCGGGGACCCTGTGGCCCGCCAAGCTCTGAGACTCCGTCAGAGGTAGGGTGTGGGGCTGTTCCGTGCCAAAGTCGAGACCCTCAGACCTGGGTCCCGGGCCTCCGCCAGCAGCGCCCGGAACCTGGGGATTTCCGAATCCACACTCAGGGCTGCGGCCGCCCTTCCCGGACGCGGGCGGCGGTGCGCGTCGCGGCCGCTGGGTGGCGCCGCGCGGGAC